TGAAGAATCTGTAAGCGAGAGGGTTGCAGCGCTTACTAGAGAGATTGAAGAGATGAAAAGGGTTCAGAATGAAATGCAAGCAGAGTTGCAATCCTACAGAGCTGGAAAACAAAGGAAGAAGGACCAACAGGAGCAGCCATCTGCAGATAGTGAGGATACCGATGATGATTAGATGTTTATTATGTTTGATGAATGTATTAATTAGAACTTGTGAACTTCTGAACTTGTGATTGTAGCATTATCATGAACTATCTTGTGAATTTGTGATTGTAATGTTGTGATGAATTTTTGATTTTGTTTGTATTTTCTGGTTGTGATGAATATAGCGGCGTGTTGCCCAACGTATATATGCTTTTTCTGCAGGTTTAGACTTTAGGGTGAACCTCCCTCAAATAGAGGGGATGCTGTCAATTTTTTTTTTCAGGTGCTACAGATTTCCGGCGGCTAACCGGCGGTTTAGTCGCCGGAAACTACGATACCGGACGGACAAGATAAGCCGCCGGTTATATTATAAAACCGTCGGTAAATACCGGCGGCTTATCGACGGCCGCCGCCGGTTATACGATGGACTCCCGACTGTTTAAACCGTTGGTAAGACCGACGGCTTTAACCGCCGTCCACCGCCGGTAATATACCGGCGGTCTAACGGCGCCGTCCGGCGGTCTACGAACCAAACGACGCCAGGTTTAACCGCCGGTAATGTGACCGGCGGCTTACCGGCGGTTACAATACCGGCAGCCTAACCGCCGGCAGACCAACGGTTAAAATTCTGTTGGTCACCGGCGGTATTGGCCGCCGGAAAACCGCCGCAAAAATAAACCGCCGGTAACAAGCCGTCGAAAATGGTTTCCTACGCCGTTTTTTCCGGCGGTTCACAAACCGCCGTTAGACCGCCGGTAACTTTAAAATCCGCCGGAAAAAACCGCCGGAAAAAACCGTCGGTTTTCAACGTTTTTCCTGTAGTGAGAAACGATGCTCTCCATGAACAAATTAACACTCATGTATGACTCATCCCAAATACCAAACACTAACTTAACAGCCTTCCTTCTAGCATCTCAAGCTTTAATGTACCAAACCTTTATATTAAACTTTGCTTCGATTCGATTAATGATCTCCCTCAACTTAAGGTCCATCTATTTTCTAATAGTAGGATGTAGCTTATAAATTGATAATTACAATGACGATGGCCTACAACAAGAATAGGGCTTGCGCACGTATGTTGGTGCTTCATGGAAGAAATTTTCCATATTCCTCCTAGAAGTTTGCTCAGACCAGCATGCAAACTTCATAAACAATGGGTTTCATAGCTCTAATGCTCAACACACACAACTGTAAATTTCTATTTATTAGATGCAACAACAACAAATTGAACATTATTTATTATCAACCATCCTTGCAAAGCAAACATGTCTGATTTACTTTTGCAGCACATCCCCTCCATCAAGTCTGTTGGTATTGAAAATTCCTTTTCAACTTGCTGCCCTACATTCGAATCATCAAAGGTAATCTCCTTATCCCATTGTCGGGTAGTATCACATGTTTAAGTAAATTCATTAGTAGCAAACATTCCTTCTACGGTTCCTACTATCCTGAAACAATAGTTCTATATGAAGCTATGTATGTCAGCATGCATTGCCACATTTTTCTCATATATATCATAAGCTACTTAGTCATCAGGATCACATCTTTCCTCACTTGACCCGCTGCTCATAGTTTCATAACCTTCGTTAACCATAACAGATGGTTGACTAGATGGTCCTGCGTGATCCTGCTACTATTGATTTTGCATGTCACTACATTAAAAGAGACAATGTTTACATTAATTTGGTAATACATCTACATACCTCAAATTTAAAATTTTGAAGTTCAAAGAACTTATGACCCACACATTTTGGATCAGTACTACTTCAACGGTAACCCCCCCCCCCCCCCCCCCCCCAGCCCCCAACCCACACACACACACCACCGAAAAACTTCCTCCATGCAAATGATTCATTAACTTCCAATGTTAGATTCAGAGTATCAAGCGTTGCCACGTTCAACTCTTTAACTTCCACATACATTCTCAACATTTCTCTGGCAGCATGAGATACTACAATTTCACATAACTCTTCATCTTTAACATGCGAAGCAATAAACTCATTCCTCGCCAGCATACGACAAACTAAGCTGGTTGTATACTTCAAGGTAATTTACTTCAATGCCTTCAAATCCCTTATCTTAAGCTATTCTAAGTTCAAGCTAGTTGGATCTTGCAATGGACGAATTTGGCCCCCGTATAATTAAGTAGGTGCAAAATTCTCATTCAACAATAATGCACCGTCAGACATCAGCACAAAGGAATCTCCATCTCCACTCATTACTGAAGTTCCCATTTCACTGGCAAACCATCACTACAACCACCAAAAAATTAAGTTGTGCTAAGCTAAAGAAGGAACAACACCATAATCTGATACTTCATATAATAACTATCACAAAAAAAATCACAATCTATATCAAAACCCTTTAACACTACCTAAAACACTACTCAAATGATTGGACAAAAAAGTTACTTTCCAACATAACTATAATAATACTTAAGCTCCAATAAATTTACAATAACAAACTCCAAACCTACGCACCTCTTTCATCTACCATACATTACAAAGTAAGCAAGAGAATTATTTTTATTAACTAATGTTTATTTTCATCATAATAACAGACTACCTACAAAAACTCAAACTCATTCAAACTACATCTCTATAAATAACATGCAAGACTTCCCTTGCAAACAACACATTACATTAAATCTACATAATGTGGTTAAAAAAAAATTGTTGAACTCCACAAACATTCGAACAATAGTTCTCAACAAAAATACTTAAAACTTAAACTAAAAAAAAAAAACACATTTCGACATATTAGAAGACGCTCGACACAGGAGCTCAACGGACAAACTATCAAACAAAAAAATGAGAAAGATGAGGCGACGAGACTTCATTTTTTGGGACGAAAGCCAATCGCCCGTTCTCTCTGCCACCCCATCTCATCAAATCATAGCTAATCACCCATGAAATGGGCAATTTTGGCTATGTTTATTTTTTATGTTGGTTTACTTACTAATTAAGTAAAAGATGATGAGGATGCTTAAGTGGATGAGTGGCTTGACCCTTAGAGATAGGATACGAAATGACCATATATGTGAAAAGGTTGGAGTAGCTCCAATGAAAGATAAGATTAGAGAGAGTCTCCTTATATGGTTTAGTCACATTAAACAGAGGCCTTTTAATGACTCGGTTAGGAAAGTTAAGATATTAGATTTAACTTATGTTAAAAAAGGTAGAGGTAGACCTAAAAAGGCTTGGTTAGAAAATATTAGAAATGATCTTTCTTTATTAAATTTAAATGAGAATTTGACTTTTAACCGAACACAATGGCGAAAAAGGATTCATGTAGCCAACCCCACATAATGGGACAAAGGCTTGATGTTGTTCTTGTTGTTGCTAGTTTACTTACTAATTACAATATTAATGATGCTTAATTTTAAAAATTGCCCTTTAGGATATTGCCACATCAGATTTGATGGGAGATTTTCATCTTTGCATGTTTCTTATTTCATATCAGTATAAGTTCATAGCCTAAAAGAAATGTTCATGAATGACATGTCATGCCACGTGTCATTTATCAGATGTATTGAATATATCTTTCAAGATGTGTTGGATCAGAATCTCAGTACACACACATTCTCTCTCTTTCTATATATATATATAGCTATTGCTGAAGTTACATCACCTTGCCCAATTCAATCGAAAGGGCTATTTATCTCAAAGCTAGTATAGTTAAGATACATATGAAGCAGGAACCAAATATTCAAACCATTTCAAAGAGAAAGAAGCTACTACTATTCACTACAAGAACAAAAAATTAGGAATGGAATGGGAAGCGAAACATGAAACAAAATGCATCTCCTCCTAAAATAAATAAATAAATGAATTAATGTGACTGTACAAGTACCAGAATCTTCCTAGTCATAGGTGTGTAAAAGAGAATGTTGATTAACATCTCCATTACTACTCTTTTCCATAACCCCGTGGCCTTCAGCTTCATCATCATCATTAAAGAGCTTCTCCACCAGTTCTACCCAATCAGACTTTGGCTCCATATAACTCATCCCATTCTGATCATAATCAAGCGGGATGTAAATTTTTTCATGTTTATTCGAACTGAAATCATTATACTTAGTCATCAAGTGTGCTGTCTTCTCGACTGCATCCTTGTACTCTCTATCAGGGGATTGATCCCTTACAATTATCGGTTGTGTAGGAGGGATCATAGAATCATAGCTTTCTTGCATTCTCTGAGAAAAGACGAGTTAAGATTGCAAATTGATGCGCTATGAATGTAGTTGTATCAAGAATACAGGATTAAGTTCTCTTTACTTACATCTAAAGCCTTCTGAGCTTCTCGCTCTATCCAAACAAGTGAATGATCATACATAGCATTACAAGATAACACAATGTGCTCAAATCTTCCTTCGACTGGAATAGCAGTCTTAACATCAGGAGGCATTCTCCCACAGCTGCATAAACCATAAACTATTAGTCGTATTGTTCGGCAGTAGAATAATGTTTCTAAGACTTTGTACCTGCATGGTCTTCTCTCAATAATATGATATATTCGACCTGGAGCATAAAGTCTTTTTGGGTCTTTGAGCATTTTAACCTCAGGCATGAATGTATCCCTCATGCAAACTAGAAATAGCAAGCAAGGTAAGCTGTTCCAATAAAAAAGAAGAGATCTAAGTGAAAAAGGATAATAACTTCCAAAAAAACTGCAATTTAAAAATATTATGCTTACCAGAAAATAGATCCAAAGATATGTTCCAAGGGTGTCGGTGTTCTTGGCAAGAAATCATCCTGAAAAATCACATGAGAGTTTTAACAAGTATTTAATCTAAGAAAATCATATCCTTTTGAACCAGAGGTAGAGACTCAAAAATGACAATAAAGAACTTGAGCAAATGCAAGCATATTTTTTATGCTAATTTTCATCACTCAATTGCATTATTTTTGCCGACCGAAAGCAAATGTGCTCGACGTAAAGCCTCATTTAGCATATATGTAGCATTTGTTGTAGACTCAAAAATAGTCCCACGTCAAAAAATAAAACAAAAGTTCAATATATTGATAATGGTCGTTGCTCATTTACAAACTGATGTAAGCTTTGGAGTTGATAGTAACACATTTGTTAATGTGCTGGGAAATAGGTGAAGCATCATTCAAACATTGAGAATAAATAAAATAGAAGGAAGATAAGCCCATATAATACACTAATAATTTTGAACAAATTCACCCAATTAATAGCCACATCTTATTGAAGCCATAACTGATTTTGATTGTGTAGTTTTAATAGCCCTTAGCCATAATATATCTAAAGACATCCCCAAATTCAAAATTCAATGAAATCTCCAAAATAACTTTGATGAAACAATTCACAAATATTGGACACCTTCCGTAGGATCCCTGTTCCCCTCGGAGCCCATTATAACATAACTAACTAGAAAGGTCTCATATTTGGAAGATATGTGTAAGATATTTCTTTGTTGGGTAAAAATTAAGCTCCACAAATTAATTTTCGGCTCAATTTAGAACCATGAATTCTTCCTTCTAGTAGCTAGCCTAGTGAAGCACTCATTCCATACTTCTTCATAATAGCTATCATAAAAGCTCCCATTTAGTGTTTAGCATTGATTCAAAGCTCTACAAATTCTCCCAAAATTCTTTCAAATTTAGATATTTAGTTTCCAAACATAAATCTAGTGAAAGAAAAAACATAATTAAGAAAAAAAATGAGCTTTCCTTCAACTAACAATCAAATGGCCGAAGAAGAAACAACGTAGCAGTACCTGAAGAACGACAGAGTGTATGACATCGGCGTACTTGACTGCCAGGTCAATCGACATACACCTTGCGGGCGCCACAGCATAGCACCTCACCCTCTCCCTCTCAATGCCACCAAACCTGTCCAAGCAATTAACCGCCACCGCAGCCATCATCGCCGCCACCCCTGCACCTAACGAATGCCCGGCGAACACCAGCCGGCACTCCGGCCCGGCTTCCATCAATACCCTTCGCAGCGTCTCTGCCTCACGGTTCAGAACCCAAACAGCCGCCTTGAGCAGCCCCCGGTGCACGTAGCCTCCATCAAAACGCTGGGGCTCCGGTCTGTTGTCGAGCAGGAGGCGGTAATCCGCTCCGCGGCCGAGGTTGAGGCCTCGGACTGCTAGAACGACCTCGGAATTGTAGCGGTCGAAATAGATAAGGTAAGGAGGGCAGCGGTCGGCGGTGTCGGCGTAGGTGGCGCGGCGGATGACGGAGGAAGGATCGATGCGATAGCCGAAGGGGGGTGGAGCCCAGCGAGGCTGGGAAAGATCGTCTTCGTAAGAAGCGAGGATGGCACGGCAGGCTCGGGGGATGGGGGCAAAATCTGGGGCGGAGGCGGGAGGCCATGATGCGCTGTCGTGGGCACCGGCGTGGGAGCAGCGGCGCCAAGCCCATCGGGCGCACGTGGCGCATAGAACGCATTCGAGGCCGCCGCAGCAAGCAGCTGGCATCTGAAGAGGGTGGCGAACTGCGATTGGGTTAGCGTTTTGGGAGAGGACGGGGGAAGAGGTGGAGAAGAGAAGTTTGTCATTGGAAGGAGAGGAGGGTGAAGAATAGACTTTGAAGAAAAAAATTAATCTCATTTTCTTCTGTTCTAGAAGGAGTAGGAGGAGGAAGAGAAGGGAAGTAGTCTGGGTTATGACGGGGAAGTGGGAAAATGATGGCGCGCAGCCGCTGGTCGAGAGTTTGAACTTTGAAGATGAAGACGGACGTTCAAAAATTGGTCACGGGACTCGTGGAAGTTTCTGTTCGTGTAAATTTCCTAATGGTCTTCTTTGCCCTCCAAGGAACTAGTCGAGCAGAGATCGAGCCATTTTAGATTTTAGATTGAGTTTTTTTTTTAGTAAATTTAATTACAAAATTATATATGTATATTACGTGATAGAAAACTCACTGAAGTAAAGTGAGAAAATTTTGTGTTTATCTTTACACGAAAATGTAGGACATTTAAAATAAATGAATGCAAGAACCGCCAAAAAATTTATGTGGAAAATTCAGAAATGAGAAAAATCATAGAGTCTAATTCAGTTAAAATAATTTTGTTTTATTTGTATTGATTACAAAGATATGTCCGTCCTATAAATTGGCAAGCATAAGATTACAAGCAACATATTATGATGGAGGTCAAGAGGTCAAGTGTCGATAATTGAGCAACGGTAGCGCGACAATAGTGGTTGAGCAACAGTAATACAATGATAGAGGTCAAGTGACAACACTCTGATGGTGGTGGTTCAATAACAATGGTGGTTTTAATGATGAGTGATCGACAACAATAGTCAAGTGGTCGAGACCCAATAACAGAGTTCAGACTACGACATTTTAATAGTGGTAGTTCAAAGATAGCAGCCTAGTGACAATGGTCTAATGATAGTGATCTAATAGAGGTAGTTAGGTGATAATCAGAGGGTGTTGGTATGATAGTAGTGATTGGGGCGGTGGTCCAACGATAGCAATCCCATGGAAATTTGACGGTGGTAATCAGCTAATGGTTTGACGACTGTGGCACGATAGCAGCGATTGGGCAATGGTCCAACAATTTGCCTAATGTCAGTGATTAGTTAGTGATCTGATAGTGGTAGAGCTATGAGATTCTTCATGTCTTTGACCTCTCTTAAATTTCAAACTAAGGTTCTCTTTATATAGAGATTATGGTCTTATTTATAAAATTTGAAAGAGACATGTTGTTCCATATACATATATCCAAAATCCTAAATGCTCCATAAAATTGCTCGTCTTGATTCACTCAATCATAAAACATTCTTTCTTTGTTTAAGTTCTTTTATGATGTCGAGATTAAGTGATATCGAGCTCATTGGATTCATCTCACTGAAATGCTCGATTTGGCTATAAGATTGTAAAATTCGAAGGACATTCATCCCTAACTAATTCTCGGAATTTATAATATATATGACCTAAATATTTGATATTGGCTACTTCAAATTTAGATTGGACCAACCTTTTTTTTTCTGAGCGGGTGGGTTCATCTCATCCAGCCACTCAATTTGATTATAAGTTTGTTGCAATTAGAATTTAAATAATGAATTAAATTTTGAAAGTTTTTACATTAAAATTCATGTTTGATGGATAACATTTTTCTGTGGCACCTTAATATGTATTGAAAAAATGATTTTTGTTCAATTTATATACTTATATTATAAACAAATAAATAATTTAATATTATTAATATGATTAATATGTTGACATATTTTTAGTAGGTAGGTCCAAAAAAACTTGTCCCATTGACGAAGCAAGGAAAGGAGGGAGAAAACATCAGGCTTTCCGGTGATAGGAATAGACTGCAGAATACTGCAAACTATTATTTCTGTGTGAAATCTGGTTATGTTAATCAATCAGGTTGTACTGTTATCTCGGAACTCAAGTCAATTTATCGTGCTCGATAAGGGGGTCTTTCGGTTGTCGGGAGCTCTGCATCTTGAGATTTTTTCGTATAAGACATTGGTATTGTGTACTTGAGCGCGCCGGTGTTGTGTTCCTAAGCGCCCCGATGATGTGTTCTTAATCACCCTAGTGTTCTAAAATTTACTGGGAGAGACGCAAAGAGCATATCACCGCAACACTCTAGATTCAGCATCATAATATTTGTCCAGTGTTACAATGACGTGGGTTAGAGCACCATAGCATTAGATGACATATCAGGTGTTGTGAATCTGAATTTAGAAATTATAATTTTGATGATAGTAAACATTTCTGACACTTCTATTTTTCTATGACTATCTTACCTACTAATATTTCAGGTCCACAAGGTCAATTGCAAATCATTCCAGCTCAAGATTGGGTAGATTATGACTGAGTCATACTATAAACTGTCATTTAAGTATCTTTAACCTTTTCTTCAGTAAATTGTAAACAACGTGGGTGTTGATGCTAAGTAATCTTGCACACACACTGTGGAAAAAATTATGTGTTGTAACGCTCCAAGCTAGCATTATAGCCCTGCGAGGTATACTAGACAATTTTTCTTTCTCATTTTTCTTAAGAGTGGAATCCATTGGTGTTATTAACTTGTCTTTTTCTTTTTGTTTTTTAGTATTAGAATGATGCAAGAGAGAAGAGAAGCAATGAGAGTGTAAGAGAGAAGAGATATATGTACTTATTTCTCCCAATTTTTATAGTGGGTTTCTTGGTGTGGTATAACTCTATGGTTTTTATTTTTCTGATTTTGGGTTTTTCCACACAAAACATTTTAAGGATTGGGCTTAACTCTTTCATTCCACCAATTGACTTGGGGTAAAATGTCAAAATCCATATTTTGTTAAAGAGTTTTCAATTTTGAAATTGAAATTGACAGGTGTTATGCAAATTTTGAAACTCAACATATTGGGTTTCACTCAATTATTAAGATTTACAAAATTGATATGAAGATCCAAAGAATTTTGCTTTGCTCTTTCATTCCACCAATTGACTTGGGGGTGAAATGTCAAAACCTAAATTTGGCTAGAGAGTTTTGAATTTTGAAATTGAAGTTAACGGATCTTCTTCAAATTCTGAAACATAATATATTAAGTATCACTCAAATATGTAGGTTTACAAAATTGATATGAAGATCCTAAAAATTTTGCTTGACTCTTTCACTTCGTCAATTTACTTGGGGTGAAATGTCAAGGCTAGATTTAATGGAGATTTCCTCACTCACCTCCTGAGTTTTTCTTTTTGATGTTAGTCACACTGACCTAAGAAAAATTTTTGTAGAGGGACCAAAGGAAGAAAGATAGTAAAAATTATCAATATAATACAATTTTACCATTATTAAAGATGGGGAGAGAGCTTTCCCTAGCGGAGTCGCCATTTTTTGTTTAAAAATTTTGCTTTGCCAAAGAAATAATGCAACATAAAATTGAATTAAATTTCTTTGTGAAAATATTATTTTTGAAATTTTTAATTTTGAAGTTGAATATGTTATTATGAATGATATATCACCTCAACATGCAATGATATCTTTCCCTAGTGAGTTCATATAGTAAAATGTGAATTCTTCCTGATTATCATAATCAAATTTAGGGAAGAACATATATGACCCTGAAAGGTTAAAATGATGTTTAATCGAGTGTTTGACTATGATAGTCTATATGAAGTATCATTTGTTTAATATTTAAAGTCACGATAATAAATTATATATCTTTTATTATTGATCGTCTGAACACAATGATAATGATTATTGTTAGTTTTAATTTTCTCGAAGAAAGTGATTGAATTTTGAAAATTGATTTAGGTTCTTAAATCTTTTATGCGCACAAACTCTCGTAGTTAATTACATCATAGGAAATTTGAATTTCTTACGAAAACTCTTGATTAAAATAATGACAGAAATTTTATTTGGAATTCTCAAAGAGTTATATGAAAGAAGTGAGGCTAGAGTTTAAACTGTGATTGGAACGAATGTTGAACACTTATTTCTGGAAGTTAATGGAGGAGAAGTAAAAGACACTTTTGGATTCTTAAATAATTTTGAAGTTCTATAGCTTACCCTATGTGTTGGACTTTAAATTTTATTTTAAGGAGAGGAATTTTAATTCAAATTGCTAATTTATTAGAATGTTGGGATTATATTCCTGAAAAGTGGGTCTTATAATTTTGAGCCTATTCTGGATTCTAAGTCTAAATTGGACACTAAATAATAGTAGTCCAAACATAGCTAATGTAGTGCAAATCTGGACTTACCCGGCCTAGATTGGGGAGCCAGTTAACTAACTAGGCACTTAAAATCCATGTGATCAATCTCTTTATGAAAGATTAGTAGGGACATTCTTAGTTAAGTTTTGAGAAATTGAGGCTGACATCTGTAGTAGATCCTAATTAGCCCCTTGACTTATGTAGGATGATTGATGCTTGAAAGTAAAATATAATTAAAATTTTGACTCTTCTTAATTTGTTTCTAATGCAATGCATACTAGTCTACCATGAATGCATAAATCAAAATGAAGCAATTTTTAAAAATGGCTTAAAAATATATTTTATCCTAGAGATTACACAATATCTCCTTAACAGGATTGCACCTTAATTGGCTAAGTGATCTGCCAAAACCTGCAGGCGAGGAGGTGCCTAACAAGGAAGAGGAAGTATTAATATGATGTATGAGAAATCCCAGTTCGTTCCCGAGCTTACTTCTTAAGATCATTAGATTTATAAGTGAGCTTAAATTTTTTATTTAGTTTTAAGTAGAAAATATTTTTAATCATATCCTTACGAACCTTCAATCGATTCCAGGTTAAATCAAAATATGACATGTATGAAAAAAATATAAAAAATGATGTAATTTCTACTGCACAATCATTATAAATAAATCAATTCAATTATTAAATCAAATGTAATGTCCATGTGTGATGAGTGCCACTTAATATTACAACTCAGGATCTGCAGAATTTAAAAGTTGTCATGTACCACTAACAACAACCTGAATTCTACTCCTAAGAATGATACAAGTGACTTTGAAAATGGGATTTCTTTTTGTCTTCACTTCTTCATCCTTCTATAAGCTCCTTAGATTTATTGGATATGAATATTCAAATAAAAAGAAATACCTCCCTTAAGGATTTTTTTTTTCTTTTCTCTTTGGATATTGAAATCATCATAACTTAGAACTCCAATTGAAGAAGAAATGAAAATGGAAAAGAAATTGAAAATAATTTTAATTATAAAATAACTCAAATAAATAATTCCCAATG